AACAGGTTTTTTAATTTGCGCAGTTATTTAGTGTAAGAAAAACTGTTTTGAAAACTGAGTTGTTTTCTTGAATGGTTAATGCAATCTCTTATTGCTTCTCTCACAAGCAAGGTGCTGCTGGTGTTTTAAAATAATTCTTGATTTAAATTGTTTCATATTTCAAAGCTCTTTAATCTTGTCAATATATTTCGAAATTTGCGATTTTTAAATAAATTTTGCTTTACCCGTATTTATAATGGAAAAATATAATGAGGCGCATTTGTCGTCTTATTTCTCTATACTAACAACCAACACATCTGTTTGCTTTTTGTTGTCTTCAACGCCTTCTATACGCAGCATTGATATAATTCTTCTCCTTGTTGAAAAAAATGTCAATATTACAAAAACGGGTGAGTTTCGCGAGCTTTTAGTCTGTCGTCGAAAAAAGCTTGCTCCCTGGCGTTTAGAAGCACGAGTGGCTTGCTCGGCGCAGCACTACTCTGAAGATGTAAGCCACTTGTGCTTGCGAAACGTTATTATATAATATGAAATTATTTTCCACGATAGCCTAAAATCCAGAAAAACTTGCCAGTTTCAAACGAAAGCAATCAATCAACGTGATATAATAAAAAAGTTTAGTATAACCTATTAAAAAAAACGAACTAGGTTTTCTGGATCTTCAGGTTCTACAATATATGGGTAGCAAAATTTTGTTTTCGATTTCATGGAAATCCCTCTGGGCGGCTTTTATAACTAGGCTTTGCTGGATAATAGAAAAAACACCATAAAATATCAAGTACAATTTTTCCTGGTTTTATTAATACAGTGGATGGTTGCTGGAATACGAAATACCCTTTTATAAAAATAGAACGGAGTAAATGCCACCCCGCATAGCTTCCCTTTGTCCTAAAAGAGCGGCAAACCGAGAAAGAGATTATTTTTGCGCGTAGAGAAAACAAAAGTCTTAAAAAGCTTGCCGGGCATAATACAGCGTGGGAGTTGATATTCTCTTTCGGTATCAAGCTTTGTACCATTTTAAGCTTTGCAATTTTATCAAAAAGAAATACTTAAACTGTAATGTTTTGCCATTGCCTGCTCGTTAATTTATAGGATTCGAGGATTTTCAAAACCTGCGATTTGGCTGGTTTTGAAAATCTACAGAACGATCAATCGTCAATCTGCTAGAATGTAATTACGGAAACAATCCAGGAGATTTATCGTGGACACACAGACATTTAAAATTCACTGCGAAAAGATATATCAATGTTGAATTTCATCGGTAAATCGTTGCGCATTCGCTAAGAGCGATCAGGTGTACGAGATTTGAAGAAAATTGAAAAGGGATTTTCGTTTTTAGTTTTTGTCACCGATCCAGAAAGTATAACGCAATATCCTGCCAGTTTTCCACCATAAACTTGCATTGAAAGTGAGTGGCCTTAGTGGAAATTCTCGGTTTGTCTCTTTCACTTTACAGCAGATAGAGTAAAACTGAATTTCTCCTTTGAATTAAGATCGTTTTTGACTGAAATTCATGAATATCAATCAATAAATGATTACATTGTAGATATATAGTATTGTTCAAAAATTATATGTGAACCCACTTGAAGATGTCTATAAATAATTTGTTTGAAACAGGGTACAATAATATGTGTCTAACTATGTACAATAATATTTGTAATCCATGTCATGAAGCTCACGTAGGTGATTTTTCACTCTATCCGAGATTTGAAACCTTTCACTTTATTAAAGTGTGAATTTAGCTGAGATTATTTTAATACCGCAACCGCTAAAATTTCACTTCCTAAAATAGCAGATTTTAATAAAGAGGAAACGGCCTCTGTGAAGTAATGTCCGAAAGCTTTTAAGCGCCTTTTCCATTGCAAAGGAAAGTGTTTCATTCTCCACTGGGAAAATCTTTTGCATGATTTGATGCTGCTGCCAAGGGGACGTTTTAAGTTTATAACCCTATTGTGACTAAGCCAAAAGACTTTGTCCACACAAAACAGATGTCTAGGGTGTGATTCTGAAGTCTTTGTACATTGGGTAAAGTGGTCTCTTAAATATTATTCAATCTTTGTATATGGTTAACCTGCGTTGAACAGTTTTAGTTAGAGAACGTTTCAAGATACATAGAACAGTTAGAAATTTCACATTTTTGTTTAGTTATTTTTAGCTTGTTAAAGTGATCTGGATGGATGAATTTCGAGTGAACGCTCCTACAAGTCTTATTTTCACTTAGGCTCTCTTGCCTTGGGACAGATTTCTTAAGAGTGCAATTACCAATTCAGGCTCCCCAATTTCTCGAGCAATTTTGCATAGCATTTTCCCATTGATGCAGTCAAAGGCATTTTGACAATCCAAGAAATAGAGGAACCTTGGAACATTGAATTCCCGTTCTTTTTCTATGAGTTTACGTAAGATCACAATTTGTTCTCGAGTTCGTTTTGCGTATATTCATAAAATAGTGAAGGTTTTAGAACTACGTTGATAAACATTCTGATCATCATTGCTATTGCTTTGTCTACCTCTGGCTGTATGATTCCTGATTTGTGCCAAATCCGTTTATTTTAAAAATATTTCCTGTTTCTCATGGCCTAATTTTTTAAGCAGTTCTGTGGGTCTAGCTTTTTTAAATTTTATTCCAGCAAGCTTTTTATTACACGTCTGCACTTGAAATACAAATTGACTACAGGATTCCACTTTTAAGAAAATTCAAAGCCCATATATATATATGAAGAAAATATTTGAAAAATAAAAACACTTTTCGTTAACGTTACGTCCAAAAGCTTTTAAGCGACTTTTCCATTGTTAAGAAAAGTGCTTCATTCGCCGTATTATATTATAGGCAAGTGGGGGACATTTTATGTCGAAATGCTTTTGTGCCTCGATTAAAAGACTGTCTATTCACAGCCGGCATTTTCGTCGTGTTTCGTTTTGGGATTATTGGGCATTTTGTCATTTCACAAACTAAATATTCACCTAAACCAAGGTAGAATTAAATTTGCTCAATACCTGAAACAAAAAAGAAAAATGAATGCGCTATTTTTATTCGGAAAAACTACAGATAGAAACTTTTCTGTATCGCGGCAAAAAATTCGGAACAGTATCCTTGCCTCAAACGATCCCATTTTGCTCCAGAAAACTTGTTCTCGGGTCCCATAGTACATTTAACCCTTTTATTAAAACTTTTTCAGAGTGGATGGGGTCTTTAGGGATGATAAAAGTTTAATTAACATGAAAGAGAAGTTCCAAATTAGAATTGAATAGGGTACAGTTGCCGTTTGCGATTTTTTAATGAGATTGATTTATGATGAACCTTATTGTAATGTTTCGGTTATGCACGATTTAATATCCAACTTTGTATATATTAGTTTTTTGAAATTATTTCATCATTTTATGAATGCAAATTTGTCTAATATACAAAAATGAAAACACCTGAATGGGCTGCTACTGCACTCGTTACAGCACATTTATCTAATTGTAAAATTTTACTGATAATCAAGAAAAACCTTGCAAAAAATTCAACTACGCCAGAAAACTAGCAGAAATTATATATATTAGATTGAGCACTTTTTTGGAGAAACTCACACTCGGAGCGGCCACATGATACTATCCTTAGAAATACACAAAATGGTAGAAAAGACAAAAACACAACACATCACCAAGAAAGGAACAAATGCCAAATACTTTATGGAAAATGGTTTTTGACTATCTTTTTTGTGGCAATCTACTGATGAACTAAATTTTCTGAAGAAAATTCTACCTGAAATTTGTTTAGAAATCTTTAGACTCAGTTATATATTTAATATGGTGGTATATTGCACCCCTTCAAGGAAAAACTATGACATTATATTGCTTAGAATAATGAACCAATTTTCGCTTGTTGTTGCATGTTGTGCTTGGCAATTTGAAAAACACACAGATATTCTGAATGTTATAAGTTTAATAGAGAGTTTCTTTATGTATAAAATTCGCATTTGAAAAATGAAAAATATGTTTCTCTGGCAATATTGCTCTTCTGAATAATTTGTTTGTAAATCTTTCACGTTTAATACCCTAATTGAAAAATCTGCCACATGAATTCGAATTTAACGTTTCGAATTTAAAAATTTCAACCCTTTGTGTATGATTTTCAATACTTTTTATAACAACCCCATCGTCGACAACCTAAGCGACGCAAATCGCCAGCAATGTAAACATATGGCAACTTTTCCCGTTCAATTCGAGGATATTATTTCTCAATTTCTTTTAATTGTGCATTCGCTTCAATTCATAGTTTACTGCATGATTAACTTCATTCACATACATATTTTTGTAATGTTAAACTACCGATAAAAATGCAATAGTTTCAAAGTATCTGTAAAAAGTTTGATGCGGTGAGAACCGAAGTGTACACGATTCCTTTTCGCTCCGTTCAGCAGAATAAAATTAATTACGGGATTCAAAATGCTTCTTTAACTCCGCAGTTCTGTTCTTGAGTTTTCCAGATCAACAGACCGAATTTAGCTTTAAGTTTTGTTCGAGTTTTTCCAGTTCGTCGTTATTATTTACTCACTTTCTGTCTTTTCCAGCTATTCACGATTACTTGCGATCGCTCTGTTCACCAAATTAACTTTTTCTTATCTGGGAAGGTTTTATTTTTTTAAGAACAAAGCACATTCCATCATACATGTTATATGTATTTTGAGTTAAATTTAGATTTACGTTCAATTTAATCAATAATGACTGGCCTTTTTGCGGAGCGGTGATCATCGAATCGAATAAAAACGGTTTAATAAAAGTATTAAAATCTCTTTATAAAATATTTTACATCAGAACTTGCAATAATTCCTTATTTTAAAAATAGGTACTGCCGGATTTTGAAATTTTTTCTTTTCCTACGGTTAAACCGAGACAATAAATATAAATTTAATAATTACTTTTTTTTCTCAAAAGGAACTTAAGGAGCACATTTTCTAAATTTTAAAGTTTTTTGTTTCCTGATTATTATTTTATTGTGAGACATATATTTTAATTTTCAGATGGACCTCAACCTGGTTTGAAATCATGGTGATGGATTGATGTAGAATATCACAATTCTGGCTTCAAAAATCTTAAGGTATGTGGAAAATTTCGTGAATATAAAATAATAAACTGCCTAAAGGTTGTGCATCTCGTGAGTTTAAACACGTGTTAAAACTGATCTTCTCAATTTAAACTTTTAGAACTTTGCTCGCTTACTGATAATTAAGCTATCACGATATTGCGTTTAATTAACTTGTTTCCGGTCGTTTATAATTTTGTGAAATTTCCAAACCTTTGATATCGGTTTATTTCAAATTTTCGCATAGAAATCTAGCGTTTGATCGTAATTGGAATGTTGTACACATCAAAAGACAATTAATAGTCATAGGAGTCATAGTTTCAATAGTCTACGGAATCATTATTGGAAAACTTTTCTCAAACATTCATGTGATTGACATACAAACTAGTTTCTAGATAAAGAGTTCTAATTTTTTCGAGACGGTGTAAGTGTGATCTTTCATCATATTGAAGAAAATGGAAGTGGATGTTGAGAAAAGAGCGCTTGTGAAATTGAATGTTACATTAATCCCCCAGTTTCAGATTATTAAGAATCAACAATAAATGCTAATTGTAAATAATTTTAGTTAAAACGTTTTTAAAGTATTAATAACATTTTATGATTAATTTAATTAATAGTTGGAACTTTCTCAAAGTTTCCAAAAACTGAATGCATCAAAAGTTTTTAGTCCAGTGTAAAAATATCGTTAAATTTTGCATCAGATCTAGCCCGGGCAACTCTTTGATGAGGATGTTTTTCAACACTTCCTTCGGTTGCGCTCTATTATATCTCCAAATCAAACAGACAAAACATGGGTTTTTTGTTTGCTGTAAATATTTACGTTCCCCTATGTCAATCTAAACGCGGTATACATTAAATTTAATATTGACTATAAAGGGGATTAAATTTGCTTTTGATTTTGCCAAGAAAACAAGAACATATTAATGTTTTTTCGCCCAAGTAAATATGCAATTTATTACTGTTCTTTTTAATAGTGAACCGATATTTTAATTTTCTTTTCTTTGTATGGGTCAAGAAAAAATTAACGTTATGACATACATTGGCGTGAAAAATTATGTTATTATACTAATTTTAGAAATCTCAAAAACAATGAGCTGAGTACCGTTGCATTTATAATTCACAAATAATTTTTATTAAATATTTTGTGTTTAAGCAATTTTTCAGCAAGCAAATTATTTTTAGGTCTTTCTGTTTGTATTTGGCATCTATATAGCTTGATTTAAAAGGCCTCTACAATCTTCAATGTCTCTTACTACCTGCTTATTATTTGTTCTGTCTCATTTTCCATTTTAGTTAGTTCAGATTTTCCTCTAATTAGTTTATCACTTAATACCGTCATGCTTTATCTCTTCCTCTTGTCTCTTCCATATCAAGCAACCATTTTTTGTTGCAGATTTTTATGTCGGTTCTTACGGCCTCTGTTATAATTTATATTTGTTGTATCTGTAGTTGTATGAGCTTCTCTTTATGTTCCGGGTGTTTGGAATTGAACAATTGAAATGTTTATTGTGAACACCCTGCAATATAAACTACAAATATTTTGAATTTTATATGCTTATGTTAATATAACCTACTTCCATATTTCTTTTTAACTCATATTTTAATGCATTATGCAAATTAGCTACTAAAGCAGTATACTTAAATACATTTTTCGCAGATCATAGAGTCAGTCCACTTTCGGCTCGCTAATTCGATTAAATCCAAATTTCTTTTGAGATTCAGTCGAAAAATTAATTATTGAAGTGAAGTTTGCCCAAAGTGAAGCTACTAAAAAGCAAAACTCTAAGCAGATTTTTGAAAAATTGTCAAGCAATAACCAGATTCGAGACTTTTATAAAACTCTCAGCCTCCATAGCGAACACCTTCTCGTTGCGAAAGGCAGCAAAAGTAAAGATTTTGTTGATCAAAAAAGAAGTATTAAAATAAGACTTGCCGAAAATGAGTGAGTGGCGCAATGGAAATGAAATAATTTATTTGAGAGTTTATTAGAACATACGTTCCTTCCTTTGAATGAGTGAAAACCAAAGCTGCAGTCCGTTTCAGCCTTGCGGAATCACATTAATACTAACTTAAAAAAAATATATTAAGCCGAAACTAAAACACAATTTCGTCGACACTTTTATATTCAATGTAACATGTATTGATGAAAATAAATCTGTTTCTGTATTATGATAATAAGCAAAATCAACGAAGGAGTTGTCCAGTAAATAAAGTTACTATATTGAATTAAGTCTAACAACTATTAACTGTTTACCTACTTTATAATTAATTTCATCGATAATAAACCATATTTAATTTCAAACTTTTACACAACTTCAGTGTGTGCAATGTAAACCCCTAAGTTAATCAACTCGACTACTGGAAGTTCAGTTATAAGAAGTTTTAATGTTGTTTACCGTCGAAATAATAAGTCATTTTAGATCTGGAGTTTAATTGAGATGCTGGTAGTGATTTAAAATTAAGTTAGTCATTTCGTATAAAGTTTCCATCTAACTTGTAATTGATTTTATCGGTTGGTTATTTGATGCCTCCGTATTAGCAGTTGCGCGAGTAGATAATGAATTTACGACGTGCCCCTTTCTCCATGTTAATTTTTTCGGCTTTAATGGCAACTTCTGCCATTATCCATTATAGACTTAGAATGGTCGCGATAAGGCAGAGCGTCTGAATACTTAAACCCTGGCCTTAAATTGCCTCAAATGCGATAGGATAATGCCAGGTAGTTGTTATGCGCTATATCGCTGAAAAATATACAAAAACAAATAACATGAATAATGTAAAAACGTGCCGAATCTCGACTTCTTGCCTTATACAAATCCTAGTAACGACGTAGCTTTATATTCCGGGAAAAGTCCCATAAATCCGAGGAAAACACAAGAAAAACGTTTTTTGAATCTAAATGGCGGTTTTTCAAACCGTCGCGCTTTTAATAAACGAAATTTAGCATGGAAATGATTCAGTGCAAAGAGTCATTTTCGGTCAGAGGACAATTGAATTTTGTATTTTTGCGGTTTCTTAAAAATTATTATCTCGGTGCACGCAAACGAGCATACCGCTTCTGCATTGCTAATTTCGTGTTTTTGGAGCAGTTCAAGAGTTGCTGTTTTGAAATAACTCAGAGCCACAGTGTGAAGAATAACCTGGAAAACTTCGTGCTTTCTTCAAGAAACTGAAGCAAAAAAAAACAGATGTTTTAATGGAGGATTTGTCATCATCGCAAAATGAGACAGTCAAAAGGAGCTTTTTTCCCTTCTTTGATACGAACGTTGGAAAGTATTTTCGGTTCAGTCATCTATTAATGATTTTATTTGTTTGAGACTTTTGCGAATACGATGTACTCTATGTGAAATATGTCGATGGAAATAAAAATCGTGGAATTGGCGACCCAGAAAACCGCAAATAAGAAACCTATCGGGGTTTGCTTTCCCAACAATATCTTTATTTCTGAAATAGAGGCTATTTCATAAGTCTGATTGTGAGGACTCAAATACGGGGTTATCCAGAAAAGTAAATGCTTTTTCTATTAACTTATGGTTTTTGTATATGAGAGCGGAACTGAGAGCAATTGTTGAAATACAAATTTTTTGTATTGTTTGTTTTTGTTTTGTATTGTTGTTAAATTATTTTAATTTTTTTAGTCGAGACCAATTGTACTGGGGAAAAAATGATGATCTCCCCATCTGACTTCTGCCAGTCAGTTTTAAGCAATAAGTGCGAAATTGGTAATTCTATTACATTTTATGGTCCTTCGAGCCGGATAAGCGAAAACGATCTTTAGGTATGGCCCTTTTCTTTTGTTGTTCTTTGCTCTGAGGGCGAGAATAACACAAGAAAACGGCAAGCCAACAAGGTCAAAGCAAAAACTGCAACTTAAACAATAGTTTTGAAAATCAATCGCTTGTAAAGACAACCATGAAACGACCACCTAATGAAACAACGAAATAAAACCATCATATCTATTTAATTGTTTCAATTTGTCCGGCATATAAAAATGGTTATAAACACGGGAAAAATGTTGCGGCCATCTATAAATTTAATAAACGACAGCCACAAGACAGTAAATTGCAATTTCAGTGCGGCACTCTTGCGAATATGGGGCTCCTGTGCTGCGCCATCGAGTAAGAACTTCTAATAAATCCCAATGGGACCATATATATCGTTTGAAAAATGCACTTTTAGTCATTCGTGTATGATAAATGCCTAACGAGATTCGATAAAATGTAGGTTAAAACGACATTTATTGGTTTGCAAATGGCAATTTGTGTCGAATTCGGCCGTTGAATGTGAAGTGACTAATTTTGTTGCTTCTCGTTTTGTATTTATTAAAGTCAGAAAAAGCTACTAAATTTCCAACTACTTGATTAATTGGCTGTGAATTAACATTAGAATTTTTTTTGAGAACGAAAACGGAATTGACTAAAAAAGGAACAAGTGAAGAATAAAAATATAATTTATTCAGAAGCAATGAGATAAAGGTACCTGAAAAATGTAATGCAGATAAGCTGGAAATAAATGAAATTTGACTTAAATGATTCAATTCGTAGTTGAATTGAAACTTAAGTGTAAAGGAAGTGATTCGCGAAATAAGTCAAGACACAAAAATAAGTCTTAAACATGAAGAAAGGAACTGCTTTACATTCAATTAATATTCAATAAATCTGACAGCCAAAAACCACAAACCAAGATATTAGAATATTTAAAGGAATTAAAAATCAAGAATATTTGAACAGCATCAAGATGTGATAAGCGGGATTGCAATTCCATTACACATATCCGATATAAACATCACAAAGAACCAAATTTTGCATTTGCATTGAATTTGAGCAACTGGCTCATAATTCTACATAATTGGCTTGATTGTACACGAAAAATATATTACCTTATTTTTTTTGGCTGGCTAATATTTGGTTTTTATTTGCATTTTTTATTAGTTTTGTTTAGAGGTAATAAATATATATAGCTGTGTTGGGTTGGGTAAGTTTGCTTTGGTTGCGGTTAGTTTGAAATTATTTGGG